CACAGGGCTGGGTCAGTCAGGGTCACAGGGCTGGGTCAGTCAGGGCAGGGACACAGGGCTGGGTCAGTCAGGGTCACAGGGCTGGGTCAGTCAGGGTCACAGGGCTGGGTCAGTCAGGGTAGGGTTGGGTCAGTCAGGGCAGGGTCACAGGTCTGGGTCAGTCAGGGTCACAGGGCTGGGTCAGTTATGGCAGGGTCACAGGGTCAGGTCAGTCAGGGCAAGGTCATAGCCAGTCCTGCAGGGAACTGCACAGGAACAGCAGTCAGTCCTGCTGGGTTGGGTCAGTCATGACAGGGTCACGGGGTCAGATCAGTCAGTACAGGGTCTGGTCAGTCAGGGCAGGATCACAGGGTCAGGTCAGTCAGTGCAGGGTCGTAGATGGGATTCGTGTAGATCCAGCATGCTCACATGACGCTCCAGGAGCTCACGGTTCTTCCAGAGTGGCGATAATCCCAGATAAAGACACCACCGCGCACACATGGAACAGCCCAGCTGTCCTGGTTCCGAGATCTGGAAACAGGCAAGTCTGGTCCAGTTTGTGTGGCATGAAGGCCACAGCGGCTGAACCAGTATCACCTGGTTCATCCCAATGGCCAGACCCACTCCACTTCCAGCACCATCAGGAAATCCCAGCATGCCTCAGCAGGAAGGCGAGGGAAAGAGAGAGCTCGCTTGTGCTCGGGTCCAAGTGTAGCGTGAGGTCTTGTGCACAGTGAGACCAGTCTGCAGGACCACAGAAAGGTCAGAGAGCAGGCTGGCCGTTGGCCTTCATGGATTACACCCTCCGATATCAGCAGATTCGTTACTGTTTCAGACATTGCCTCATGAGTTACGGGGTTGGCAAAAGGTAAAGCCCGCCCAGATCAATGCTGCCTCTGTGCTCTGGGTTCTCTCATTGCTGATGATTTTAGTTCAAGATGCAAGCTGGAAATCACAGGCTTGAGCCAGAAAACTCCATCTATACCGGCTGGCAGACTGTCAGGCACAGCTGTATTAACGTGACCCTTCAGCAAGCCTGGCGTTCAGCACACTCCAGCTGACAGGCACCGCCAGGGACGACTCCCGGGGCAGCTACAGGACGAAGAGCCAAGGACCAAGCGGACATGAAGCGGAAGAGTGTTTAGGAGAGACTATTGAGCTAACTTCACCTTCTGTTATCAGTCACCTCGGGTAGATGCATGACATGCCCAATACTGGAAACAGGGTCTTCTTTACACAGTGAGTAGCGGGTGTCTGGAACAGACGGCACAACTGTGTTTTGTAGGGAATACCCTGGTGTCCCTCAAGATAAATGATCCTTCAATATCTTCAAATTAATTAGCTACCAGTTACCAAGGAACGTAGTTGACTCTAATCTCCTGGGCTCAGAGTGAGAAATGCAGTAAGGAGGTACAGTAATACAGTGAGGGGCTACAGTAGTACAGCAAGGAGATACAGTAGTACAGTGAGAGACTACAGTAGTACAGCGAGGAGATACAGTAGTACAGGGAGGAAGTGAAGGGTGACAGTAGTACAGTGAGAATCTACAGTAGTACAGCGAGGAGATACAGTAGTACAG